CTGTAATGAGATCTGGCACCCTCTTCTGTGTACATAATAAATAAATAAATAAAATAACTGTAAAAAAAATGGAGTACATATAAATCATATAAAGCTCTCCTGATGAGGACAGAAAGGCTCTTAAGTGTGTCCTTGTTGCTCTCTCACAGGTTGTGACTCCCGTCTCTGCCCCAGACAGATAGAGTAAGTGATCACATTGGTCCAGGCAGAGAGCAGCTGTGGACCATTAGTGGGGTCTCTGCCACCTCAAGACCAAGACTGGTATCAGTGAACATGATACCTGTTGAAGATCCAGGTGATGCCCTGGCAGCATGGCAGGGGTCATAGAGAACACAGTGTTGCTATAGTTCTGTGAAGAGGGGTTTCCTGGAGGAGAAGGGCAGGGGCTTCCTTTACTCATATAGAACAGATAGATCTTGGGTCAGTTTGGCATAGAGAAGACAGGTCCAGGTAAGGTACCCCTAAGCTGTCCCTGTCTCACATACAGGCTTCTCAATCCTTGGAGGCTCTGATTTGCCCAGTGTTCAAATAACCTGTGTGCAAAGTGCCCTGCCTCACTCAAGATTTCATAGCTGCTGGGACTGGAAAGATGGCTCAGTGGATAAGCACTCAGACCACTCAGTGACCTGAGTTCATTTCCAGGCACCCTTGTGGGTCTGCTCACCACCATCTATAACTCCAACTCCAGGGAAATCTGATGTCTCTGGTCTCCATAGAAACCTACACACACACACACACACACACACACACACACACACACACACACACACACACACACACAAATATACATAATTATAATAAACTTTAAAAAATATTTTCTAGCCCACAGGTTGAAGGAGCTGAGACCCTAGTTCAGGCCACTGCTCTGAAGAAATGGCTTTGTTAGTTCTTTCTACTACACCATGCTGCCTCCTGGAGGCCACAGTGGGCAAACCTAGCCAGAGTGGAAGGATGGGAAAGGGAATCACATAAAGGGCAATTGAGGAACCCTCCACCCCAACACACACACACACACACACACACACACACACACACACACACACACACACACACACACACAATACATAGGCAGAAGTAAAAGGATGTGGTTGGTCATAGTGAGGCTTGTAAAAGACTGAAAGCTGTAACTGTCAGGTTTTTCAAGGCAAGAACTACACCAGACAGTATTTTTGGAGGAGAAATGTCCACATACTGGTGTCTATAAAGGATGCACTCTGCCACGACTTCTCGCCACCTGTTGCTCTGTGCCTAACACAGTAACTCTTCTGCATGTGTGCCTGCTCTTAAGCCTTGAGAATCACTGTTTCCAGTTTCCATCATGTCCAGCCTCTGAGACTTGTCCCAAAATACCAACTGCTTCTACCTCCTGAGCACGCATTTAACTCTCTCTTGCCAGCCCATCCAGGAGGGCTGGTCCTAAATCTGTTGGTTCTGTAAGCATCATTACTGCAGGGAGAGCAGCTTTGCTGACCAGCTCCTTCCAGCCCCTACTATAACCCCTCCACATTTAAAGGAGAGTTCTAGAAAGTGGGCTTGAGTTGTAATCATCTGTATGCTTGCCAGAAAATAGGGCCTGACACTAGATTTCAGTATAAACTAGGTTGTCTAAATTAGTAAATGTTTTTTCCATATGTAGCAGGCAAACTCTCACAGAATGCAGGTTCTTAGTGGTCAGACTATCAGGAAGTCCCATTTGAGGGCCTTTGTTTTTCAAACTAGGCATGCCAGTGTAAGTGTTGGACAGAGACATGCATGCATTCCCGAGCAGAGTAGATTCAAAGACAGCTGTGCAATTCCTGACACCAAGAAACTACAAAACGGGGCCACTACCCTTTGTGGCCCATCTCTCCTGATATGACTACAATGGTTACTTTTCTTCTTCTATGATTAGAAAAACTTTGAGGTTTAAGTATTGGCAACTACCAAATATGTGGCTTATTAGTCACTAGGCTCTAACCCTGCAGAGTACTGCAAATGAAAATTACAGCATCAATGCACAAGACAATGGACAGACCCAGTAGAGCATATTGCATTCCTCACACATTCGGATAAAGGGGCTTGTGCTTACAAGTGAGGTGGATTTCCTTCCTAGGTATGGCTATAGGAAAATTCCTCTTCTCTGGGATGAGAATGTGACCCCCTGACTGGGCGTCCATTAGAGCCTCAAGGTGTGGATGCACCTGCAAGGTCTCACTCCCTCACACAGGGACTGAAATCCCACCTCTGCAAATCCACCCAGCTCAGGCTCTGCAGAACATCTGGGCTTCCTTGTACTGGCCATCACTGTACACCTGCATGTGATTAGGACTCGGCAGACACCCACAGCCCCACCAAAGTCAGCTCTGGTGACATATCCCTGTGGGAAAGTCTCTCCCCAGACCACTGATCCTTCTGACCACATGAGTGCAGGTTCCAAGGATACGTGAGCTCCGCACATCTGTGACCACAGCAGTCCCCATCCTCAGTGGAGAAGCAGCAAGGACACCTTCACCCCAGCCTGCTTGGAAATGAGCAGCACCAAGGGCAGACTGTACATAGCAGAGCCAGGGCGGGAACAGAAGTTTGGCCTCCTCAGTGTCAACCACCAAAGAGCCTTTTAGACCTGTTCACAACTGTGTTTGGAAAGTTGGATACAACTTCAAATCCCCTGACATTCTCCCCACAAATGCCCCTTCTCCTGTGAATGTGTAAGCCCTGCACAGCATCCTAGATAGCCATGTGGACAAGGAAGAACAGTGAAATTTTAACCTAGGAACATGATGAACAGTGCATGACCAGACTTTACACCTTTCTATGGAAGAGTCATAGAGCTTCCACATTTATTGTATCTGCCAGAGTATTTAGTGGAGAAGATAGATTTTTCTCCCAAGGAAAGAAATTTTCATTCAATAATGAAATTAAGAGCACAGAGAGAGTCTCGAGATGTGTCTTTGATAGGAGGGAAACATGACCAAAGAGACTTTCATTAACATACTCCAGAACACTGCATCCTCTGGGCAGGTGCTGCAATCACGGACACAAAGGTGGGTCATCCTGCGGGGGGGGGGGGGGGGGGGGGGGAGGCTTCATATCCCCAAAGATCGTATTGGTCACCCGTCCTTCAAGAGGGCTGGCTCCTGTCACAACTGCATCTCTCAATAATCAGAAATAACAAATGCAACATCCTACTTCCCGTGGAGAAAGAAGTGTGTCAGAGTATACTACAGGACTGTTGAAGAGGAGCTGAAGCAGCCAAGGAGGTGCTCTCTAGAGGACCAAGCTAGAAAGGCCTTTCAGACTTGCTCTAAGGCTAGATTCTCTTATATACATCATTGGTCTCAGAAGAAGCAACTCAATGGTCTTTATGCCTTGAGCCTTCAGAGACTAGACCATGCAGCCTCCAGAGCAGAGGACCCATGCTTTCTGCAGTGAGATGGGTCCTCCTTGGCAGCCTGGGGTGCAAAAACCAAATGTTTACTCCTTACAACTATATTTTGAGTGACTATTCACTCCTTATAAGCTTAACTGCTCATGTCTTGGAGAGAAAAACCTTTTCCTTAACATTGTGGCCTCTTCTCCCATGAGCCCAGGCCAACTCAGTGACCTTATCTAGTACATGACTGTGCATATGATCCCCTGCAATTTCAGAGTGGTCACAAGGACCCAGGGTATAGCAGCCCTGTGCTTGGGGCTCCTGACTCAGGGTATAGCAGCTCTGTGCTTGGGCCTCCTGACCACTGATACCGTGTTGAGACCATGGTACTTTAGGAGACCAGGCTCAGCACAGACTAGCAGGGCCAGGCCTACCATGTAACTACCCATTTTGATACACTCATTCTGATGCACAAGTCCTTGCCTTCTGCTCTCCAAAGCAGAGAAGAACAGTAATAACACACTAGGCTAAACTACAGAGTTCAAAACCTCCATCCCCAAACACCAGTCAGGAGCATCTTTATGAATAAAATATTGAATCGACTATCTGTACAAAATATTAAAGTGGTGAATGATGAGCATACAAGCTATTTAACAAATATATATATTGCTATTTGCTGGTGGAGAAAAATAGTTTGCTGTCTTACAGGTCATTTACAACCTACTTAAATTTCAGAAGACATATACACACAGAGTCATGCCTGCCCTCTAAGGGTTCTCTGCTAGCTGGCCTGGTCACAACAGCATTACACAATTGCTGTGGGATGTCGTTCTGTATGCTTTGAATATGTGTTGCTCTGATTGGTTGATAAATAAAATGCTGATTGGCCAGTAGCCAGGCAGGATGTATAGGCGGGGCAAGCAAACAAGGAGAATTCTGGGAAGAGGAAGGGCTGAGTCAGGAGTTGCCAGCTAGACACAGAGGAAGCAAGATAATGAGACAGAACTGAGAAAAGGTACCAAGCTATGTGGCTAAACATAGATAAGAATTATGGGTTAATGTAAGTGTAAGGGCTAGTCAGTAATAAACCTGAGCTAATGGCCGAGCAGTTATAATAAATATAAGCTTCTGGGTGATTATTTTATAAGCAGGCTGTGGGATTGCAGGGGCTTGGTGGGACCGGAGAAACAATTCTCCGACTACACACAATGTCATCCAGGGCTGCCCAAGTGGCCAGGCTGGGCAGCAGGCAGATGCTCGACTGCAGCCTGCAAGCCTTGGAGCTCTGTTCTGGCCAAATCCAAGCTGGAAGACTGCCAACAAGGAGATCTCAGTTTTCAAAACCTCTCCTGCCCCATCTTATTAGGAGCCAAGCTGAGGAACAGTGGGTGTCATTGCAAAATGAAAGCGACTTCCCCGAAACTAATTAATTCTGTCTTTAGCTGCTGAGGGAACAGCATGGTCTTGAGCCTTGGTGGCATTACCACTGCTTCGAGTTTTGCCATTTCCTTAAAGCAACAGTATCAGAATGAGGTTAAAATTACTTTTTAAGCTGCGGGCCACTCACTATGTGCCGCATTCCACTGGCCACCCAGGGCCTGCTTACACAGCATCATGCCATAAACAGGTTCAAGATTCAGCAACTACCTTCACAGTGAGAGGACTCGAAAGATCTGCCTCTTTATTTATACATAAAACAGAACACAAAACAATCACAAACTTTTCGGGACCACTTACATCATCCACTAAAAGGACAGGTCACAGGTAGTGTTAAACCTTGTTTGGTTCTTAATGCATGAACTATTCATTTGGAGCAGAAAATTTGCAGCTAAAAGCCCTGATCATGACTCTTTATCAAAGAACCAAAGACAAAAGCTGTTTGTCCCACCATGTAAAGTGAAATGCAAAAATAAAATTACACTAAGGCTGCTCATGTTTAGTCTGTGCTTTATCTGAGATGGAGAACACCAGAGAAACTCCTCTCTGGAGAGTCTTGTTTCCCATCTTGGAACATTAGCTTGTTTCCCAGCCAGGAAGCATGTTGCATGCTGGACGTTCTCACCAAACTGGATCATCATTTCTAAACAGAGTGCAGATTGGTTGATTATGTATGACTCTGACAGGGTCCAGCACAGGGTAAGATGGGATGCTTGAGCTCCAAGCATCCCTGTCCTCCCCACACAAAGTCCTGGACTCTGGCCGCTGGGGCCCAGGGCTGCCACAGAACACAGGCACCCACACTTCCCACACAGAAGCCACTGTCCACCCCATGCACCCTGCTGAGAGGGGCCCTCCTGATACAGAGAGAGGCCATTTACTGATTTCTCCTTAACTCCTTCAATTTGTGCATCCTCCCCAAAAGACAGGGAGGTACCATCACTGCTAGTCCCTCTTGGCAGGAACTCCAGGGTCCCCATTCCTGTCCTTTCTTCTCCAAGGGCTCCAGTCCCGAGGCCACTCTAGACCCTTCCCCCAAAGAAGTGGACCTTGAATTCCTAGCCTGCTTGAGGGAGACCTGCCAGCCTACACTTCCACAGAGGGACCTCCAACCCCACGGCCCCCAGAAACCAAGCCGACTGGCGCCACAGTCCAGGCTTAGCAAGTTCGGATGCCCTGACTTTGGAGACGAAGGTTTCTAACACCTAAAGATGGGGTTCATGGGACCTTGGCTCACAACCCAATGGAGCAGAAGCTTGCCTCCCCCAGCTCATCTCAGAGCAGGAGCAGGCAGGATGTGCTGGCACAGAAGATACGTAAAGTACCTTGAATCGCTTGATCTATGAAGCCGGTGATCGCGTCTACGCGGCCGTGCCCCCCCCCCCCCCCCCCCCCCCCCCCCCCCCCCCCCCCCCCCCCCCCCCCCCCCCCCCCCCCCCCCCCCCCCCCCCCCCGTGGCTGCCTTGGCCGGAGCCCTCCCAGCCAGGCTCCGGTAAAGCGACATCATGAAGTGGTGTGGTGTGGTACTACCTAACCATTCCTGAGGCTGCCTGGTGAGCTGAAGGGCTGGGAGCCGCGCTCAGCAGCCAGAGACACAGCGCAGCGGCGGCGCTCAGGTCCATGAGCTCCGTGGGCCGTTCGGTCGCGCGACACGGGCTCCGTGGCTCCGGGAAGTCCCCCGACGCCTTTTGAACATAGTGTTTAATAATAGGGGAAGTGTGCGCAGCAAGCCGCTGCCCCCCTCCTCTCCCACCCCACCCCCGCCCAGCGCCCTCTGCTGAACGCTCGACCCGCAGCTCTGAGCCCCCCAACTCAAGCCTATCGCGCAATGCAGGGCAGGAGCCGCCTCCCCTCGCTGCAGCACGGTGTCCCCGTTCTTGCCAGGTGAGGGACATTCCCACCACAAAGCGGTGTCCGGTCTTCCCACCCTAAGGCACTGCAACCCCCACTCCCCGCCCCAAGACCTGAGCGCTCTCCTTGGCTGGAACACGGGGCGTCGCGCATACCCGCCCAGCTTCCTCCGCACTTCCCTACGGAGAAACACCGCCCTCCCCGCTACTTCGCAAGTGCTAGGGTTGCCAGACCCAGGCCGAGGCAAGACTGGGTCCCTCCCACCCAGCTTTCTCGCCTTGCGCCCCCTTGGTGGACGCTCACCAGGAAGCCACAGGGAGCAACTACATGGGGATATTTGCTGTGCACGTTTGGTTGGTATCTATGGTACAGAAAAGAAAGTTGTCTGTGCGTGGGTAGTGTGTGTGTTTCTGAGGATCGCAGTGGGAAGCCAGAGCAAGGGAGAGGATCTATGGCGAAGGACGAGTGGCTGGGGGGACAGGGCAGAAAGAGACAGATGGATTAGGACCGACTGTCGGAAAGGAAAAGATCTGGGCGAAGATCTTGCGCCAAAGCAGAAGCCAAACTCTTAAAGGGCTTGATGAATTAGGAAGGCAGCTGGGCTTAGAGTAGCCAACCCCCACGCAGAGTAAGGGCTCAGTGTTCAAATGTGCAACCATCGCGGTGACCTCTTAACCGTCCTGGCGTGGGGGGGGGGGGGCTCGCGGGGAGGTGCAGGCGATCACATTTCTTCCAGGTCGGGAGGGCAAAAGGCAACAGGCCGCTGGTATGTTCGCGTGTAGCTACAAGCCGGGAGGGTGAGCAGCAGACCCCTAGGGTAGCGCTCTGGTGCCACTGTGGTTATAGCACCCTTCGAGCGCGGGTGGAAAAGGCGTCCACCTCTGCCCTATCAGTGGGAGACACCTGAGCTTGCAGATCCTGGGGCTCTTATTTGGCTAGCCCTGGTTCTAAAGAGCGGACTGCCCTGAGGAGGGAGGTTGCCAGCCTGTAGCGATTCAGTTCAGACAAACCCCTAGAGCAAGAATGTCTAGAAAGCAGACAACCGTCAGGCGGCTTTGAGGGTCTGGGCCACACCCCTCCCCTTTACCCTAAATTTCATTGGAGGGCTGGAGAGATGGCTCAGAGCTTAAGAGCACTGGCTGCTCTTCCAGAGGTCCTGAGTTCAATTCCCATCAACCCATTGGTGGCTCACAACCATCCATCATGAGATCTGGTGCCCTCTTCTGGCATGCAGGCATCCATACAGGCAGAACACTGTATGCGTAATAAATAAATCTTATTTTAAAAAATTACATTGGATACCAAACTGAACATCTAAACCGGGCCTGTGAGTCAGTTCCTCCTCCATCCGGACCACCTGGGAGACAAGGGCAGAGCTTGGTCTGGGGTCTGGGGATGTTTGGGAGCTGGAAGGAAAACCCTGACCAGGGTCAATACTTGTAGAGTTACACGGGAGGTGAACACGGCCTGAGCTCAGCCCATAGCTGGCACCTGGACCAATGTTTGGGCTGCCTGCCTACTCAGGACCTTCCTGCTGTTGCCCGGGTGCCAGACAGCTGGGATGACAACCTGCCTTTGGTGCCCAGGTTGGGAGCAGAGGAAAAAGCCATAATTATGGGTTTCCTTCTTTGAGTGCCCGGAGGAAGTAGCTCTGGTAGGACAGAGGGTTCCTACAGTAAATTCCTGCCCCCCCCCCCGCCCCATTGTACACAATGACCAGCCAGGGGTCTCTTTGCTCAGAGGGACACCAGCTCCCGGTACCTCACTGCCCTTCTTTCCACAGTAGGCACTTATGTCCAGACTGCGTGTTTCATAAGTCAGTTCCATGTTGGAAAACACAGATCCTGCCTGGGCTGTCACTGTCCTGGTTCTAGATCTGGCTTTGCCCACTGACAAGAACCCTGAATTCAAACCACCCCTTTGGCCTCTGGATGCAAGTCCCTCACCCTTCCTGGCTTTGCCTCCTGCCATCTACAATGAGACATGTCAACCCGGGCACTGTGAAAGGTGGGAGAACCACGACAGTGGGGCCAGGAGTGTGTTCCCTGTGCAGGCCCACCATGACCTCTGACCTCTGATCCAGAGCAGAGAGAGAGAGAGAGTGTGTGTGTGTCCTCTGTGCCGGTCCACTATTATGACCAGATCGTGGGGGACCCCCAAAAGACCACCACAGAGACCAAATCCCTCATGTAAAAGCGAAGAGCCTTTATTATCTTCAATCTCTGAGCTTGGTCTCTCTGTCTGTCCGGCTCAGCAGTGAGAGCAGAGAGTCCTGAGCCCAGGTGGGGCAGAGTTTTTTAATCATAGCAGAGGTTGGGGGTGAGGGGATTTCCAGGGTTCAGGACCCTGATTGGCTGACGTTTGTCTAGGGGTATCTGTAAAACAAAAACAGGTGTATGCAAGACTCTGGGACATCTGGCCATCTTATCTAATGGTTGGAATGTTTGGGATGTCAGGTACTTCCTCATCCCTGGGTGGTATCAGCTTAAGGCTTTTCCTGGATCTGGGTGTTGCCTGCCAGTAAGCTGGTAACAGAAGCTGTGTCTGGGCCCCTAAGCCTGTCATGGCTGCTGTATGGTCAAGCTGTTTTGAAGTCCATCCACACCCACCATGGCTCCTGACATCTGATCCAGAACAGGGAGAGAGAGAGAGAGAGAGAGAGAGAGAGAGAGAGAGAGAGAGAGTGTGTGTGTGTGTGTGTGTGTGTGTGTGTGTGTGTGTGTGTGTGTGTGTGTGTGTCTGGGGGGGTCTGTACTGGCTTAGGTCCCCCACAGGGGAGATGGAGGGAGAGAATTGACATCAATCTGCAAAGGCATCTACTTGCCTCCTCCTCCTCTTCTGATGACTTTGGCTCCTCTACTCAGCCCCTAGGAGACTTCAGGAGTCTCTCCCAGAAAGACCCGGGACAGCAGAAGTAAAGATTCCAGCAGCAGGTTCAGGAGCAGCACCAGTGGATGCCCTGGACCTGACTTCCTCAAGCTGTAGGAATTTCCGATGCTTAACCTATAACTAGGCTGCCCAGGTTGCCCCAAGCAACAGCTCTGGCTTTCACACTGGGGTCCTCAAAGCCCTGGTCTCCGGCCTCTGGGTGTGGCCTGCTCTGTGGCCCAGACCACCCTGTGGGGGAGGGGAGGGGAGATAATGGGAGAAGGTAGCTTCTTTCCCAGAGGCCTTCCCAGGGGTGCATTTCAGTGCCTCCTATTTGGGACAAACTGCAGAGGCCTGGTGGAGAGTGCCATCTGCTGGCAAGACTATGTAAGAGTGCCTGGCTAGTTAAGCCAGAGATTGCTAAACTTCCCTTTTGAGAGGTGTCCTGGGAGAAGAGATGACCACATCCAGTGAGGCCAAGAGGAACAGTGCAGTGTGGGAGAGGACCTGGCCTTCAAACCACCATTACTGTGGACTTCCTTTGTGACCTTGATAGAGCTGACCTCTATCCATAAGCCCAGCATTCAGGAGGCAAAGTGATTTTGACTTTCCAACCAGCCTGGGCTGTATGATGAGACACTATCTTTCCAAACATGCAAAAACATCCTCTGCCTCTTTGAATGGCAATAGGGTGTGGTCTTGTTGGAGGAGGTGTGTCATTGAGGGTGGACTTTGAGGTTTCAAAAGCCCATGCCAGGCCCTGTCTCTCTCTCTCCCTCTGCCTGTTGCCTGCAGATCAGGATGTGAAGCTCTCAGCTACTGCTCCAGCACCATGCCTGTCTGCTTCCTGCCATGATGGCAATGAACTAACCCTCTAAAACTGTAAGCAAGCTCCCAGTTAAATGTTTTCTTTTATGAGTTACGTTTGTCATGGTGTCTCTTCACAATAGAACAGTGACTAAGACATCATCCAAAATGAAAAATCAACAAGGACTTTTGGAACCAAAGCTGCCATTGTGTCATTATTTGGAATGTCCATCCCTCCAACCTTGGTCAAAGAACCCAGGGTTTCTGTTCTAGATACACAAAGATGAAGGGAGTAGTGTGGTTAGTGTTTGTCAACTTGACACAAACTGTAGTCACCTGGGAAGGGGGACCTCACCTGAGGAATTGCCTCCATAAAATTGGCTGGTAAAGCCAGGCAGTGGTGGTGCAGAGGCAGGAAGATCTCTTTGAGTTGAGGCCACTCTGGTCTACAAAGTGAGATCCAAAACAGCCAAGACTACACAGAGAAACCCTGTCTCAGGGAAAAAAAAATAATAAAGAAGATTTATTTGTGTGTGTGTGTGTGTGTGTGTGTGTGTGTGTGTGTGTGTGTGTTTGTGTGTGTTTGTGTGTGTGTGTGTGTGTGTGTTTGCACACGCTGGTGCCTGCAGAGGCCAGAAGAGGGCATCAGATCCTCTGGAGCTAGCGTCCTGGGCAGTTGTGAACAACCTGATGCGGGTGGTTGGAATAGAACTCAGGTCCTCTGGAAGAGCAGCAGAGACTTTCCTGTGTATTCCAGAAGTAAGCCCATGGCCCCTTTGAGCCACAAGGAAATGTGAAAGTTTTTTCCTCTTCTAGCCCTCATAGTTAAAGCAGAAGGAAGGATGTTGGTGGTGGCTTTTGATCCACAGCGCCTGCCATACATTTCATCTCACTCAGTCACTGTGGTCACTCTCAGCATTGCTGTGGTTCTGTTACACCCATTTCTTCGAGGAGAAAACCAGATTATATACAACAAAAACATTATCAAGTAAGAATTATAGTTACAATATCTAGTCTATTTGTATTTGGCAAAAATTAGAAAAAATACTCTATTATCTATTTTTTGTGACTCTAAAGTTTTACATCTAATTTACCTTTTCATCATAATTAAGGAAAACTATATTTTTTATCTCTTTATTTATTTTTTCTATTATCAGCTTGATACAGTACAAATTCTTATCCTAATAGTGAAATGTTTCA